GGCATAAACTAAGAACTTTTCAGCAGCCCCAACATGTATATAACTCTGTGCATATATCTATGTATGCATGTAAGTAATTGTTGTAACCTAGGGAAGGTTACTGAACAGAATAATCACACAAAGGTTGGTAATGAATGATAATACTTAGGACATGAACAACACATATATGATTCACCAGCGGCATGTAGAAGTAGTCAACTGCTAGAAGTGAGTCAAGTGAATTCCACAAGGAATCTCCAACTACAGACCAACATACAGTATTTACTACTGTATTTATGTGAAATGGGAACATACCAATTATTGTCTGTAGATATGCTACAACAGTAATGTTGGATTAAAATCCATTGAAATGGTTAATATATGAGACAATTATTTTTAATTTCAATAGAAATAATTACAACAGAAATGTGATTCTATAGAGGGATGCTTTAAATAACATGGACTGGACACATGAGTAACAAGGATGTTTCGAGGAAGCTGAAAACAAAAAGGACATATACTTAAAAAAAGCCAGTTGACATTTCTACAGCACATAATGAGGAAAGAGGGCTTAGAAAATTTTACACTGACAAGATATATTGAAGGAAAGAGGGATAGAGAAAAGCAGCAAATAATCAAACCTAACAAGCTTGTGTAATTGGTTGGCAGAACAAAGATTAGGAGAGATAGCAAAAAGACAACATTGCTAAGAGTTACAAATGACAAGAAATTGTATTGAGCTGTGATCGCCCATGTCCTTAAGGGGATATGACACATAGAAGAAGAAAAAGAAGGTCCCTCACCAAAACATGTTAAATCAAAATTTTTGAAAATTGCCTTAAGCATGTACAGTGATACTTTGGCTTAAGTCGTTTCAACTTAAGTCATTTTCGAAGATATGTTGGTTTTTCTTAGATATTATATTGAAAAATAAAACTCGCCTTGGGTTGTTTTACTCAAGTTTATGTCAGGCGTTAAAAATATTAGAAATATCTAAAATAACAATAAACACATTTCAAATCATATTTGAATAAATTTAAAAGTATTATGTATACTATATATATATATATATATATATATATATATATATATATATATATATATATACACACACACTAAAATCATCAAAAGCAAAAACAATTAGCATAGTAAAGTATGTTTAGCAGATGTTCTTATTTCAAATTCATACCAACAGGTGGCACTCATGTGTTATTTTTTGCTCCAACATCAATTTTGAATTCAGACTTGTTTACATCTGTGCTCTGCCATTGACCTTCTTTTTAATTACATTTCAATTGTGATTTAGAATACATTTTTGCCCATGGATCTGAAGAAAAGTCCCTGTGAAAGTGCTAAATCTAAGGCTGGAAGATAAGGTGAAAATTAATTATTTTATTCAAATTACAGTATGTACATATAAAAACTGTAATAGGCAATAGGGAGTGCATATTTGTTGTTTATAGTGTAGTTATTTTGACTTAAGTCATTTTTCGACCTAAGTCGTGACTGCTGAAACCAATTAACGATGTAGGGTGGGATATACTTGTATATATATTTTTTTTTTTTTTTTTTAAGCTTTTCACCCCAAGCAAGGCGGGAAGCCACTAGGACACAAGGGGTTACAGAAGATTTGGAGCAAGATCAGATAGGAGTGATAGAGGAAAGGATGAGGAGAAGGATAGTGGATAGATCAAGGCAACTGGAGATGTTGATTGACATTACATTTGAATAGTTGGAGATTATAGCTCTCAAGGAAACTGGAATAGGGAAGGGAGTTCCACAGGCGAGAGGTGCGAGACATGAAGCTATTGGAGTAGAAGAGTGTGGGTGTGTGTATATATATATATATATATCTTGAATTTGGGTAGATGAAACTATTTATTCAAAGGATGTTGATGATTGTGCTAGCAGGAAGTCACAAGTTATTGTGACTGAGGGTTTAAGTGTGCTGGCCTTATTGAACTGTCGATCGTGCCAGATAATGCACTTTCTTTCAAGTTCTCTTAGAATAGTTGCAATATAAAGTGTAAGTGGGCTCTGTTGGTGTTGAACAAACACAAATGTGACTGAACAGACATCTGCAGTAGAGATTGGAAAACTGCTGTAGCTGATGAGTGTGCACATAAAATGAGTAGCCAGCATACACACACATACACACACACATATATATGTGGACTTAGAAATCTATATATAACTTTGTGTATAAATGTACTTGTGCTTCATAAAATTGCAAAGGAATTATATTTCCTTTCATCCTGCTTATACTGAAAGTAATTTTTCTGGTATCTGTAACATATTTTTTGCATTGAGGTAGATTTAAAATTCCTGTTTAAATGCCCTTGTCTTAGAGAGTCTACATTTCTCACTGATATAGTACAGAAAGTTTTAAAAAATAAAAATTCAGAAATTTTTCCTACATATAATCTAAGATTGTACCAAAATCTCTTGTTCATTATATTTTGTGGGGAAAAGCAGTACAAGAAATTTCAAACATATATTTAACCTATATAATTTTGTTTTATACTTTTTTAATTCTTTTATTTTATATTTATCATGATTCTTATTCACTCTGTTATGTTATTGTAACTGTCATATTACATAATTTGTAATTCTGAAAACTAAAAATTCATGAACCATCTTCCTGATAACAGCTGCTCTTCTTTTTTTTAATTATTTTACCCATCAAGGTGATAATGCCACTAGGACACAAAGGGTCATTAAGAGTAAAAGAGAATGAGAAGACTTTAGTGAGGAGAAATGAGGAGAAAGGACAATAAAATTACAAGGTTCAAGAAGACAGAAGATGACCATAGGCATTACATTTAAATTTTTGAAATATTGTACATGGCAGGGAAGCAAGAAATTAGAAGGGACCTCTAAAGGTGAGAAGTACAAAAAAAGAAACTATTAGTATAGAACATTATTATTGGTCCTGATCTGGCATCTCGGCTTCAGTCATTTCACCACCATTGTAAAGTTGCCTCTCTCTGACTTTTTGATAAATACTTTCATGGTATTTGTTCAGATGAGCTCTTCACTATGGTAGCTAGATGTTTGGATTTAAGCACAGTACTAGACTGGCATCAAGATCTCATCAATTTAATGTTGAAATGGCTAGATGTAACCATAAATTCTATGCTAACAGTCTCTTTTCTTGCACTTCTCACTTGTGGAACTACCTTCCTGTTCCATGCTTTCCTGCCAACTTTAAAATTTAAATGCAATGTCAATTGCTATCTACTGTCCCTTTCATTACCCTTTTTGTTCTTGTTCATTAGTAATGTTTCTGTTCTTAATTCTTCTACACCTTGTAACACCTTGTGCCTTAGTGGCTTTACCGCTTTGCTTCGGATAAATTCGATTTAGAAAAAAAAATGGTTGCACCTAGTTAGTTTAACAGTAAAATCAAATCATCTTTTATATGCCATGTCACATGACTGATTATGACTGTCCCCAACTTCCTATCCTTTATAGCTTTTAGTAAAGCTTGTCTATTTGTTATCTTTCCCATCTCCTTTTTTACTCTCCATTTACACAAGCTTTTTAGGTAGGTTATATCACTGTTCCATTGTGTTCTTGCTTTCAGAATGTCTTGTGAGCATCAAAAGAATACCAATGAATAGAACATGTGAGTAATGAGGAAGTTTTAATGAAAATGGAAATAAGAAGGACACTTACACTAATCAAGAAAAAGAGATAATTGAAATAAGGAAAGAGGGCTTGGACAATTTGAGACCCACATACTGACATTGAAAGCCCAGAGGATGAGTAATCTACCTAACGAGCTTGTGTAAATGGCTCACAGAACAGTGATTGGAAGTTGTGATGAAAAGACAAACCTTACTATGAGCTATAATGGATAGGAAGTTGTGGAGAGCCATATTATATCAAACCATGCTCATTCCATCCATATTCCATTGGTGAAAACTAAGTTCCGCTCAAGCAGCTTCTTTCTGTTTCCTGCTTTTTCCACTGCTCTGTGGAACCGACTTCCAAGATGATGTTTTCCAATCACTCTAATCTTAACTTGTTAAAGTCTAGGGTTAATCATTATGTTCCCCACTTATCAACATAAACTGTGCTTCTTACTCTGTAACCCTCTACCTTGAGTGGCTCATGGGCCTTGTACAGAGGGAATCTCACTATGAAAAAAAATATCTTGAAGCGTCACATCAAATAAAAGAAGAATGTAAACCATTTCATTATTTTTTTCATATGCTTTGCTTAATGTTATTAGCTGGTTATTGTTATCCAAAAGACGCTGTCCCAAAGATTCAAAATAATTCCCCAAAACAGCTTCCTAAGTAAATAAATATGGACACATACATGTGTTAAGTGTATTCAGCAAACACAGTTTAATTAGACATCTTCTAATTTTAAAAAATCAGTACAAGTTACTTAGGATGATGTAAACAAGTGAAGAATTTCAGTTCTTCTGTTTGACATTGAACTTTGATGTTTTCTAAGTGTTTATAGATCTGATACTGCTTTCTTTACTTGTTACTTGAAAATTAGAAATTTATTGAGAACTAAACTTCATGATGTTCAAGTTCTCTTAGCTTGGGTTTCTATTCTATTTCTTGAGGTCATTTGTCCAATTCTGAACCAATATCATTGATCTTAAGATAGAAAATAGGAAAGAAAAATTAAATTCATTCTGTGTTTATTATATGCTTATTTTTAGGTTTTGATACTGAGAGATACCAAGGAAATGAAAAAAAAAAAAAAAAAAAGAAAGGGATGTGTAATGAAAGAGAAAAGTAAAATTAGAAAATGGGAAAAGAAAGAAGTAAATGAATTCAGTTAAAAAAGAGAAAGTAAGCAAATCAGGGAACGAGAGAGGGAATGTAGAAAGGTGACAAAGAAGGAAAGAATGAAAACAGAATCAAGTGAAAGAATAATAAAGAGAAGAATAAAGTTTAAAAAAAAAAGAAAGAAAGGAAGATAAAAGTAGAAGAAAAGAAGAGAGAAACTAATAAATGTCGAAGAGGTTTATCTTTAGATTTCTGTACTGAGATATATCAATGAAATAGAAAAAGGAAAAAATGAGGAGTAGTGAAAAAGAAAAGTTGAGAGAGAGAGAGTGGGAAAAAGAAAGAAGAAATGAATACAGTTAAAGAAAAAAATGGGAGGGAGAGAGCATAGAAAAGTGACAAAGAGAGAAAGGAACAAAGTAGGAGAAAGTAAAAGAATAAGAAGGAAGTGTGAGAAAAAGAAAAGGCAGCAGAAAGAAAAGAGAAAGTAGAAAAAAAGGCAGAAAAAGAATAGTGAGAGAAAGGGGCAGAAAAAAAAAAAAAAGATAAAGTGAGGGTGAAAAATAAAGTGAGAGTAGAAATCTTCTATGTACCATGTCCCCTCAGGACATTAATGATCATGGCTCTCCACAACTTTCTGTCCTTTGTAGTTCTTAAGTTTTTTTATTATTGCTCCTAAACCCTGTTCTGCCATGTAATTACACAAGCTTGCTAGGTAGGTTATGGTGATTTTCTAAGCATAGCTTAGGTGTGGCACAAGGCTGAAAGTATAGGTCACCCAATGAGGAGCGAACTCATTTTTCAGTCATAATTGATCTAACGAGACAAGCTTGCTAATCATTACACCATGTCAAAGTGCCCTTGCTAGGTAGGTTATGCATTGTTTTCCTCTATCCCTCTTGCCTTCAAACTGTGAGTATCAAGCTTTTCAAGCCCTCTTTCCTCATTATAATGCCCTAGAGATTTCAACTGTTTCTTTCTGTTCTTTTTTCCTTCTCTCTCTTATTTTTTAAAAAAGTTTCACCATTTCTACCTTTCTAAGAAACAGGTAAATTTCATTAGAAAGGTAGAAATAGTAAATTGAAAAACAAATGTTAAGAGAGAGAAGGAAAAAAAGAATCGAGTAAAATACCCCCCAAAAAACAAGAAAATAGTAAAAGAGAGGTTTGAGAGAGATAAAAATAGTTGAAGACAGTAAGTTTAATGTTGTCATATGTTTATATCTTTATTTTGTAATGTTTTCTCTTCTAATGATATAAAAGATTTAGAGATTTTTTTTTTTTTTTTCTTTATATAAATTCTATTTTATTCCTAGGCTATTTATTCTTTCAACTCACACTTCCCTCTGAAAACCCTAACTCCATCTTTATTTACTTTGTGACTTGTAAACTATTGTTAAAAATAAGCAAACAAAAAAAAACAGTTTAGAGAGAGTGATAATAAAGCTTCAACCCAACCATTCATTTTGTGGGAAATCTAAACTCGTTAGAAATACCTATTTCTGTAGAATGTCATTGTCTACCAAGAAAGCAGATTAATCAAGTAGAAATTGGTGGAAACCATTGGGGATGGTGTGTGTGTGGGGGGGGAGCAGCATGATAGGTCAAAAGAGGAAGAAGTTATAGTTTAGTTAGTGAATGTGTGCATATCTATCTAAACGTGTTTTTTTTTTTTTCTGTATAGATTTTTGTTTTATTGGAGAGTGTTTGAGATGCAAGTACAGTGTACTACTTCACTGTTTTGTTTATCAATCACTTTTTCTCTCTCTTTACAAAATCGTCTAGTTTTTATCCCCCAGGGTTGTTGCATAACCTCTAACCCTGATTTCTGTATTTTTCCAACTGACTCATTGATACTGACTTCTGTCAATATTTATAAAAAAAATAAATGTTAGTAAATATACATTAAAAGTAATGTGTAAAAATTTCCCAAACCAACTGTCATGAATAATCAAATGTGATCACCCCTCGTTTTGTTACTCTCCTCTTTGAGAGAGCTATTTCTGTTTACTGGGACTATAAAAGAACACTATATGCAAACCTTGTATTCTCAGTTGAATAAAGCTTTCTTAAAGCCTGCACCTGTATAATTTTGTCATTACACCAACATACATGGCTATAAAACTTTTAAAAGAAATCTGTTAACTAAAGACCTTTCAATATTTAAAATAAAGAAACTCATACATAGATAATCAAATAAAATGAAATTAATTTCACTCTGAATTTCTGGGATGAGGAGTTATCATCATTTACACTATTTACATTCAGACTGTTGTACTCATTTTCATTGTTGTTATCAGATCATTTCAACTGCTGTGGTCTCTACCCTTCAGATATTTATTAATCCAGGTAACCTACAGGGAATTCTGAACTGAAACCTTTATTTAATCTACAGGTGTAGACTATTCACATTCCACTGCCCATATCTAGTTCTTATCTTTATTACTACTCAGACCAACTCTCTAATCAACTTGGCTATTGTCTTGTAGGAATATCCTCTGTGGAGAATTTGGAGCCTTAAAGCTAACCTTCCAGCCTGCTGATGAGTAATACAACTACTGCTGTTTGTCAAGCTTGATTCTCTTACATAAGCTTTTCTTTTTTGTTACAGCTGCTGCTGCTGTTGTAAACTTACTGTAATTTTTATTTAATTATTTTTAATCATTTCACCCCAAGCAAAAGGTGGTAATGCCACTAGTATGCAGGGAGTTACAGGGAATGAAAGTGAAAGAGAAGACTGAGAATAGGGACAATTGAGGAAAGCACAAAAGGTGAATGGGTTCAAGAAGACAGAAGATGGCTATTGGTGTTGCATTTAAATCCTTGAAGATGGACATTATCAAGGAAGCATGAAAACAGAAGGGAGTTCCACAGATGGGCAGTGCCAGAAAAGAAACTGTTGGAGTAGAAGTGGCAGTTGCATTGAACTATTTCAAAAGTAAAACCATTTCTAATCTCATAGAATGCTTAAATTCATGTATTCAGGGCATCAGAAAAAAAAGGTCATCAGAACAGATACCATGAAAATATTTGTAGAAAAGACAGATGGGAGCCACATCATGTTGATGAGAAAATGACTGATATTGAAATACCTTGTCATGATCAATAACATTACAAATCCTTTCTTTTTCTCAAGAATCTTGTGATGTACAGCAGAAGCACCAAATATGGCAACAGTATTCAATGCACAGACGATTTGTCTTTCTTTCTTCCTTTATTTTCAACTCCCATATTTACATCTATGCTAGGTCTACTAATGAGATCCTCATAGCCTAGTATATGCACTGATTCTTTCCTTTTCCAAAATAACACACTCAGAGGCAACCTTCCAGCAGGCATTGTCATATGCTTTCCAAAAGCCACACAGCCTTTTGATCTGATTTCCATGGCAAATGTTCAGATGATCTCCATTCTTTAGTCCAACTAGTTCAGACCTTTACAGCAAGAACACACCAGCCTACTTCCACAAAGTCAAGTCACCTTCATTTTCTCTGTATTCCAGTTGTGAGGAGTAAGTTCCACTCAGAGAACTGAACACTATAGTCTTAACCATCAAATCAAGGTTCATTTGTTATCTATGCTCATTAATAACATAATCTTAATTTCCTACCATTTCTTCTTTCATTCATATCACAATTGTCATTCATAATTACCACTTTAATAGTAACTCTTCCTTGAATGGCTCTTAAATTGGGTGAATCACCTTTTTTTTTCTCTGTATTCCAATTGTGAGAAGGAAGTTTTACTCAGTTTTTTCTGGGTAACCTACAGGGAATTTCTTTGTTTAATCTACGTGGGTAAACAGTTCTCATTCCACTGCCATGTCTAGGGATATCACATCTAGTTCCTTTTTTTAGTACTGCTGAGTTATTGCTTGCCCTGTTTCTTCTGAGTCCAAATACATACTGCCCAGCCCTGGGATTAAATTCACAATTACTATGTCATCAAATTTGCTTGCCAACAATTTAATCTATTAGTCTGAGGAAGAAGAGACTCAAGGCAACAGACATGTGGTTCAAGAGAAGGATACTAAGGATATCATGAACCAAGCTTGTGAACAATGATGAGGTCTTAGATAGGTCACAAAGGAGAAGGCTTACACTCAACATCAGAAAGAGGCAGCTGAAGTTTCTGGGACATATAATGAGGAAGGAGAGCCTGGAGAATCTGATACTCACAGGTGAAATAGAGGGAAAGAGAGACAAGGGAACCTGACAAGCTTGAGCAGGTGGATGACAGAACATGGTCTGGGGGAGGAAGCAGAGGGAAGGAGCTTGCTGAGAGCTGCAAGAGAGAGGTGGAGAGCCATGATTGCTTACATCCTGAAAGGACATGGCACATAAAAAGAAAGTATATTCCTCTGTAGGACAATTCTCTGTGGAGAACTTGGAAACTTAAACCTAACCTGCCTGCCAACTGATCATTGCAGCTGCTGCTGTTTGTCATGTCTGACTGCACTCACTGAACCTTTTGTTACAGCTGCTGCTGTGAAAGAGTTCTTGTCATTTGTCTTTCTTTATTAGTAGCTCCCTCATTGTATTTATTTCTATGCTATATCTTCTAAGGAGGTCCTCATAGTCTAGCATGAAACAAAATTAAAATAATAAATAATATTTACATTAAAAAAATAAATAAATATTCAACAACAGCATTTATTCACTTTCATTTACCTTTCCTTACACAGCTAGCTTTAAGAATATTTTAAAGCATTCTCAAATTTAAAATTTGAAGGCTGGACAATATATTTTTAAGTTACAAAATAAAATTGTGTCTTCTTGGGCTCACATTGTCCATTGGCATGAAATGGAGTGATTATATTGAATCAATTGCTAGGTCTACTTCTAAGAAAGTTGGTTCACCGTATTGTGTGAGACAATTTTTCTTGTCAGAATCCATCTTGCAGATTTATAAATCTGACATTCAACTGTGCACTGATGATTGCTGCCGTATCTGCTCTGGTGCTCCAACTATATATCTTGAGATTCTTGATAAAATTCAAAGAGTTTGTAATATAAGTGATCCTGACCTGGCATCTTGGCTTCAGTTACTTTCTCACTGATGTGATGTGGCTTCCCTTTGCCTTTTCTACAAATATTTTCATGGCAGTGATGAGCTGTTCTCCTTAATGTCATGACTGCATGAATTTAAACATGTTATTAGATCTCACCATTTTTAATGGCAACTAGGTCTGCTCTGTTTTTAATGTTGAACTAGCTAAATGAAACTGTCATTTCTATTCTAACAATTTCTTTTCTCACACTTCTTGCCTGTGGAACCCCCTTCTGACTTCTTGCTTCTCTGGGACCTACAATCTTCAAAAATTTAAATGCAATGTCAATCTTCTGTCTTCTGGAATTCTTTTCCATTATTGCCTTTTTCTTCACTTCTAGTCACTAATGTCTTCTCATTCTCTTTCGCTCTCTGTAATGCCGTGTGTCTTAGCAGCATTATTGCCTTGCTTATGGTGAAATGATTTTAAAAAAAAGTTTTCTTATATGGTCAGAATTAAGATATTAACTATTTTTATTCCCTATAATTGCTTCCATGTCCAACTGCACAATTCTGATCCAAATCAGGATTTCTAAT